GTGTGTGTTGTGTTAGTGTATGTAGTGTGTGTGTTGTGTTAGTGTATGCAGTGTGTGTTGTGTTAGTGTAGTGTGTGTGTGTTGTGTTAGTGTATACAGTGTGTGTTGTGTTAGTGTATGCAGTGTGTGTGTTGTGTTAGTGTATGCAGTGTGTGTTTTGTGTTAGTGTATGCAGTGTGTGTTTTGTGTTAGTGTATGCAGTGTGTGTGTTGTGTTAGTGTATGCAGTGTGTGTTTTGTGTTAGTGTATGCAGTGTGTGTGTTGTGTTAGTGTATGCAGTGTGTGTGTTGTGTTAGTGTATGCAGTGTGTGTGTTGTGTTAGTGTATGCAGTGTGTGTTGTGTAAATGTGCAATCTGGGGGTGGAGGGGGAGGAAGGGGCATTTTAACATAAATTTTTAATTAATTTAATTAAATGTTTCTCCCCCCTCCCTGCTTACCTGTATCCAGGGAGTGGGGAGCTTCCATCTGTGGTGGTCGGTGGGTGGGATGGTCGGTGGGTGGGATGGTCGGTGGGTGGGCCCCCCCGGCTCCCTGTTACCGTCCGCAGAGGGGGCCCAGGCAGCACACAGCTTCTCCTCTTCTCATAACTCTCGCGAGACCCGCGGAGCGTTACCATGGTAACCGGGTCTCGCGAGAGTTATTAGAAGAGAGAAGACAGGAAGAGAAGCTGTGTGTTGCCTGGGCCCCCTCTGCGGACGGTAACAGGGATCCGGGGCCCGCGGCTGCACACATAGATAGCGATATTCGCTATCTATGTGTGCAGAGAGGGAAAGTGGGGCCCAGGACTGCCAGAGCAATCCGGGCCCCCCAGGGCCGCCGGGCCCGTGACAACTGTCACGGTTGTCACCCCCTGATGGCGGCCCTGTGTGGTGTGTCATCTTCGAGGTCTGTAACGTCCTGATGTAGGAAAGTAGGAGTCACGTCAACTATAGTCTTCTCAGAGGAACTGTGCCCAGATGGGGCCTAGCCCCTCCACATACATAACAATTAGTTTTGTTGTGTGAGTTAGCATTGTACCTCATCCATTCTAGCCACAAATTAGTATCTGAGAACCCAGTCTCTACTGCCATAGTGTCTTCAAAGGTGGGGTTGGCTATAGCTACCATGTCATGTAGAGTCTTAATATGTGGTTTTAATGGGTTAATTATCATGTGAGTGGTCCCTACCCAGTCTGAGGAGGTGAGCATGTCTTGTAGGTAAAATGTCCCTAATGCATTATGTGAGCCACCCCCCTTCCAGTACATCCCCATCACATATTCCCCCGCGTCCCTTGGGCTAGGGTGTTCTATGTTCAGGGTAAGTTTAATGGGGGTTGACCCTGTGGGTTTACTCAGGGTCATTCTGGAAAGTAGGGGCTTCCCGTCCTTGTCAAGTCTGTCTAGTGCAACCTGAGGTCGGTAGCACCATGGCCTACCTGTATTCCATCCGGCAGCTTTCCATGAACTACAATGGTGTCCCCAAGCTCCTCTGGTCACACAAATGTATGGATCCTTTTTATTAGGTATGTCTTTGTATATGGTTGCATATTGTGTTTGTGGAAATGTACAAGTAACTATGTCACAGTAATCAAAGGTGTACGTGGCTACATCAGTGTTAGAAGAATTGTACCAGAAAGTGTATACGTGATTATCTTTGGTTATGGCCACTTGTTGGGCCCAAGCAAAGTGCAAAAACATAAGAAAACACAAGACACATAATAAATTCATATTTCAGCAGGAACAGCCTCTTCTGGGGCAGGCACTTTTTTGCAATGTGAAGCGTGTATCCAGGAACTTTTCCCAGCTAGTTTAACTGACGTTGCTGTGATCAGGAGCACTTGATAAGGACCATCAAATCTCGGTTCTAGGGTGTGTTTCCTGAGAAACTTCTTGACCATAACCCAGTCACCAGGAAGCAGCTTGTGTGTACCTGTATTTGACTCAGGATCTGGAATAGAAGAAAACACTTGGGCATGTATTTTGGTCAGGGCATGGGAGAGAGCGGTCACATAGTCTACCATAGCATCTGACTGAATCTGAAGCTGCTGAGGAAAGTAACAACCTAACCTGGGTGCTGTACCAAACAAAATCTCATAAGGTGATAGGCTATATTTTCCCCTAGGTGTGTACCTTACACTAAACAATGCCAGTGGGAGACTCTCGGGCCAAGGCATGTTAGTTTCTTGTGACATCTTAAGCATTCTGGCTTTCAAAGTGCCATTCATGCGCTCTACCTTACCACTACTCTGTGGGTGATATGGTGTGTGGAATGCAAGGGTCACCCCCAGTGCTGACCAGACTTCCCGTGTTAGCGAGGCAGTAAAGGAGGTCCCCTGGTCACTTTCAATCACTTCTGGGACTCCATAGCGACAAACAATTTCCGTCAAAAGATACTTGGCTGTAGTCCTTGCGGTGAGGTTAGTCACGGGGAAGGCCTCTGGCCATCCTGAAAACATGTCCACTATGACCAATGCATATTCATAACGTCCACTCTTTGGCATCTGAATGTGATCAATCTGGATCCTCTGAAAGGGATATTGTGGCTTGGCTAGGTGGTTAGGTGCGGTCTTTATAATCTTTCCAGGATTGCATTTAGCACATATAGTACAGGACTTACAGTAATTCTGTGTTAAGGTGGTGATGCCTGGTGCTTCAAAATATTTGTCAATCAGTGAGTTCATCAGAAGTTTTGACAGGTGAGCGGGCCCATGGGCCCATTGTACCACCGCTGGGTACATACATCTGGGTAAGCAGAACTTGAGATTGATGGTGTAAACATCATCACGGAGTACAGCTCCTTTATTCTTCCAACCTTGTTTCTCCTGGGGAGTGGCAGCAGCTTGTTGTTCCTTCAGAAGCCTAAGATCTGTAGGCAATGTTTGCATAGTGTAGATAGGTAATGTATCTGTGGCCACTCTTCTGTCCACTTCCCATCTTTGCCGTGCTGCTTCCTTAGCTGCTTGATCAGCTAGGTGGTTACCACGTGCTTCTTCTGTGTCTAGTCTTCCATGGGCTTTTACTTTCAGTACTGCCACCTCTGCTGGAAGTTCCAATGCATCCATCAGCTCTGCAATGGCTGCCCCATGTTTTACTGGGGTACCAGTGGCCGTAAGAAATCCTCTGGTCTTCCAAATTAAGCCAAAGTCATGTGCTACTCCCAGGGCATATCTTGAATCCGTGTAAATGTTGACACGTAAACCTTCAGACAATTTGCAGGCCGCAGTTAGGGCTGTCAATTCAGCTTCTTGAGCAGACTTAGTTGGTTGTAGGGCAGCTGCTTGTAATACTTGGCATTCTGTGGTGACTGCATACCCAGTGTGATATTGTCCCTGTTCATCAGCAAATCTTGACCCATCCACAAATAGTGTTTGGTCCGGATTGAGTAATGCAGCTTCATAGACAGTTGGTAGGTGTGTAGTTTCCATTTTCATTTGTTCAAAACAATCATGAGGGATATCGAGGTCACAGTTTGTGGTGAGTGGATCCTCACAGGCTTCTGTGTGGTACCTGGGGTACCCAGCTGTACAGTAATTAATAGTCCTTTTATTGACCCCCGCAGAAGTCAGTTGTTCTGGGGTCATTTGACTCCAGGTTTTGGCCATCGGGCCTAGGTCTTTCCACGAGATGTTGGGAGGTCTGGTGAAAGATATGTGTGGGATAGATGTTTCCCAATGGTGGTAGAGATGTGTCACACTCTCTGGGAGGTGGACTAAGATGAGCATTGTACCTGTGAGGTCCCAAAACAAGTCAGTCAGGGTAATTTGAATTTCTTTGAGTTGGAATACTTCTTCCTCATAGTTCATATCAGGGCCTGGTTCATCCTTAAACCACAAGGTACAGTGAAGTAGGGTCACTGATTGTTCATCATGTGGAGGTGCAAGTGCAGGTAGTTGTAGATCTGCTAGAACTTTTGGGTTGACATCCAGGCTATACCAGTGGTACACAATTCCCCCCTTGGGAAGTGGCAGAAGAGTGGCTGGATTCAGGGTAAGGCATCTCTGGAGTTTCACATTGTCAGGTAAAAGCAAGGAGGTTTGAAGGCGGAGGTGGCGTTGGGAGGAAAGGTGTTTGGGTTGAACTTGTTGCAGGATAGCAGTAATGTCATGAGGGGCCAACACTGTGAGATGATGGCCAAGAACAAAGTCATTAGTCTTATCCAGGAGAGCACTGGCGGCAAACACAGCACGGAGACAAGAGGGGCTGCCCCTTGCAACAGGGTCAAGCATGCAGGAAAAATAGCCAATAGGCCGTTGTCTGGACCCATGTTTCTGAGTAAGGACTCCGGAAGCATGTCCTGATTTCTCAGAGACAAACAAATTGAAAGAGAGTTGGTAGTGGGGTAGGCCCAAAGCAGGTGCAGAAGCAATAGCTCTTTTCAGAGTATGGAAACAGTCAATAGTTTCTTCAGTGAGGTGAAAGGGCTCACTCCTGAGGGCATCATAGAGTGGCTGCATGAGTTTGGATGCTTCAGGTATCCAGGACCTGCAGTATGTGATGAGACCCAAGAAAGCATGAGAGTGGTGCGTTGCAGGTAATGGGAGTTGCAGGATAGCTTGCACCCGTTGTGAGGTTAGGTGTTTGGTGCCATGGGAAAGGCAATGTCCCAAGAAGACCACAGAGGGCCGGCACCATTGTAGCTTTGATTTTGAGGCCTTGCACCCTGCAGCAGCGAGGAAACATAGGAGATCTTCTGAGTCACGCTCTGCAATAAGCAAATTAGGAGCACAGAGAAGGAGGTCATCAACATATTGAAGTAGAACAACATCCAGATGAGATTTCTGCCAGGGATCCAAAACTAGAGACATGGCATGAGCAAACTGTGTGGGAGAGTTCTGAGCTCCTTGAGGCATTACAGTCCAGGAATATTGTTGTCCTTCATGTGTGAAGGCGAAGAGAAAACGGCAGGAAGGATCAAGGGGGACACTGAAAAAGGCATTAGCTAGATCCACTACAGTAAAAATTGTTGAATTTGGTGGCACTTGGGACAAAAGGGTATGGGGGTTTGGAACAATGGCAGTGTCCTTTATGGTAACTTCATTAACAGCACGGAGGTCCTGTACCATGCGGTACTGGTCGGGTTGGCCCTTAACAGTGCGCTTTTTAACAGGGAAAAGTGGGGTGTTGCATGGAGATGTGCACTTGGTGAGGGCACCTTTGGCAAGCAGAGATTCAACTTGTTTGGTGATGGCTTCAGCTTGTGCAGGCTTCAGAGGATACTGAGGTCTTCGAGGAGGAAGTGCTCCAGTCAGGAGCTGGACCAGGACGGGGGGTACATGTAGGCGTCCAATATCATCTGGGCCAGTGGACCAAAGTTCTTGGGGGATACGATCCAGAGCACTGGGGGTGTGTGTGACCCGTGCATTTCCTGTATTGTCAGTTAGGTTCAACAAGATGGGGAGTGAGCATAGTACAGAGGTATCTTTTTGTGATAAGGGGGTTGTCAACTCAACCTGTCCATCTGCAGTAAAGGTAATGGAAGCCTGGAGCCGAGAGAGGACATCGGCACCTAGGAGGTTAATGGGGCAAGTAGAGGAAACAACAAAACGGGACAGGATGTGTGAACCTACATGTAAGAGCTTGGTAAGGGGGTTACTGCGTGGTGTACCATCCACCCCAACACAGGAGACATCGGTGTCAGATAGGAAGGAAGGGTCGGGCAGGTCTTGTTCCCTAAGGACACTACGGGCTGCACCTGTGTCAACTAGAAAGGTGGTTGGGTGACCCTCCACGGGGAGAACTACAGTAGCTAAAGGTCCTCCCCCATCCCCCGCAGACACTGCCATGGCAGGGGTTGCTGACACAGGCTTGCCTGTTACCTATTGCAATAAATCTAGGTGGGCCTGATCTGGTCCCTGGTACCGGCGGGAAGTGGAAGGAGGGGTAGCAGTGTGCATGGGGGGACGGGACGGACGGAGGGCATGGCGGGGATGAGGCTGGTTGTCTTGGAAGTCATCGGTATCATACCCTTCAGCGGAGGGCGAAGTGTATGCACGGGCTTCTGTTGCAGGGAGCCGGGCTTGGGAGTATTCAGGAGGCGGAGGAGGAGGAGGTGGAGGGGGAAGCTGAGGCAACTGCGGATGGGGTAGGGCAGGGAGATAACCAGTGGAGGGGAAGTTGTAGCTGGTGACATGGGGATTTTGGTACCGGAGGGTCTGCTGGCGATACACTCTAGGGTGTGGGCAATCTCTTCTAAAGTGACCCGGCTGATTACAATTAAAGCAGGTCCGGATTGTCGTGACAGTCCGGTCACGGGAGAATGGAATTGGTGCAGGCAGTGTCTGGGGGGACTGGGTGTACTGTTGGGGGAGCACCTGTGGTCCCTGGTTTGGACCTGCAATTGGGGCGGAGGCAGCATACATCAGAGGACTAGTTCTACGCTGTGTGGGTAGCAAAACAGATTCTAAGCCCTTGGCTACCAATAAAAGAGTGTCCAGTGGAATAATTCTATACTCAGGCCGAGCTAAAATTAACCCCTTATGAATGTGTTCCCTAAGCCCTGCCACAAAAGCTGCAGACAGCATCTGGGTGTGTGCTTTGTTGTAAGTACTGAACCCTAAGTCTGAAAAAGTCTGAGTCAACCTAGAGTGATACTTTTCAACTGTCTCAAGTTTGTCCTGTAGTATGTCATTGTAACGGACCGTTTTGCACACAAGGGGTAAAAACCCTTTAGGCGATCGGCCCCCTTTCCAGAGATACAGGCACAGCTACTGCAGAACACCAAAACTCACGAACTGGATACAAAATAGCACTCCAACTCCCGAACTGGAACCTCCCAAATAGCTGCTAGCAGACGAACAGGAAAAGCAGACGAACAGCTTACACTCCTGGCAATCAGTCTCTAACAGCATACAGTGAATCCCCCCAAGAACGAGACAAGGCTCCGTGTTGAGGGTCAAGCAGTGGTCTGAGGTGCTGGCACACCCAGCCTGGTTTTTATTACAGTCTTGCAAATACAGGACCGCCCACAGGGAGGTATAAAACAACCAATCACATCACAGTTACATCCCACATATTCCCTCCCCTTATCCTGAGAGGAAACTCAATTATACATACAGTTAAAACATACTTTCTACCCAACTTTCATAACTCTAAAACCATACATCACATTCACATAAAATTACATATTCACAATCAATCCATTCAGGGGAACAACATATTTAAAAATGGCATGAATCAGACCAGGGGTTCAAAAGTTAGTAAAAGTATCTTTTGAGCCCTGGCTGGCACATGGCTATCTGGCTCAAACAGGTTTTACAGAGCCCTCTATCCTGGACAATGGGGAAAGTAATCCAATTATCCAGGGATAGAGGCAGACTCCATTGAGCACATGGGGACACAAAGACAGTAAAACACTTTAAAATACATCAGGTAAGACACCTTACATTAAAACTATACATTTAACATATCCCCAGATAGCTCAGGTCTGAGCGCACATTATTAAGTGAATGGCGCTCGGACCACACAAATACAGTTTAATCGCCATGGAGCCAAAGTCTTTACAGTCAGTTTCATACGAATGGGCTCCATGGGATTCTATCTGGGGTATAACACATTCAAACAAATCTACTGAACCCCAGGCAGAAAAGCACGAATACAGCTTTTCAGCAGGCAAAAATAAAGTCTTTTAAAAGGGGGCCATAGTCCAAAGGCAGCAGGCGAGCAACCAGGCTTCTCCAATGCAATGTGGCGAGATTGGTCTCGTCACATCTCTCCCCTTTTCCAAACAGACTAGCAGGGTATCTGACCTCCTGCCGGTCAGTGCCCTTGTTAGTCCAGCAGCCCACCCACAAAACATAATCAACAGCACAGCCCACCCACAATAAATGGTTACTACACCTGGGTAAAGGAGAAGCTTGTCCATGTCCAGGTGCCTCACCACGGCTGTGCTGGGTACGGGTATGCTGACTGGGTGGGTTGCTGCGTGGGCAGAGACCAGCGGCACTCTGCCCTTGCCAGCGCTACTGGGAGGGTAGCCTGGTTGAAGCCTGGTTGTTGGAGGGGGAGACCGACTGTCTCCCCTTTAACTACACCGCTCTGCTGCTGGAGACCGACTGTCTCCCCTTTAGACACACAGCTCTGCTGCTGGAGGCCGACTGTCTCCCCTTTGGTTACCCATCTCTGCTGCTGGAGGGGGAGACCGAATGTCTCCCCTTTGGCTAAACAGCCCTGTCGCTGGGGGGCAGAACCGACCGTCCCTACCCCCTGTGCTGGCAGTGTAGAGACTACGGTCCCATCTGCACAGTTGTGGGGCTTACTGTCTCCCCCTGGTACATTAAGCTGCCGCTGGGGAGAGGGGGTAACATGCTCCTCTCTCATACATACTTCCAGCTGCGGGGAAGGGATACCGACTGTCTCTGCTCCCAATACAGAGTCCTGCTGCTGGGGAAAGGAGACTGGGCTCTCTATTCCCGGTAGGACACTCTGCCGCTGGGGAATGGAGACAGGGCTCCCAATTCCCAATAATCTGTGCTGCCGCTGGGGAATGGAGACTGGGCTCCCAATTCCCAAAACATCATACTGCCGCTGGGGAATGGAGACTGGGCTCCCAATTCCCAAAAAAATCACGCTGCCGCTGGGGAGGGAGGACACTGCTCTCCTCTCCCTGGACTTCACACTGTCTTCCCGGCATATCACTTGGCTGCTGGGGGGCAGGAACAACTACCTCTGCCCCCTGTAACTCAGCCTGCCACTGGGGAGGGAGGATACTGCTCTCCTCTCCCTGCACTTTACACTGCCTTCCCGGCATATCACTCTGCTGCTGGGGGGCAGGAACAACTACCTCTGCCCCCTGTAACTCAGCCTGCAGCTGGGGAGGGAGGACGCTGCTCTCCTCTCCCTGCACTTTACACTGCCTTCCCGGCATATCACTTGGCTGCTGGGGGGCAGGAACAACTACCTCTGCCCCCTGTAACTCAGCCTGCCGCTGGGGAGGGAGGATACTGCTCTCCTCTCCCTGCACTTTACACTGCCGCTGGAGAATGGAGACTGGGCTCCCAATTCCCTGCAGGACCGGTGGAGAGACCTCGGTCCCATCTCTACCGGCCACCTGGGGTTCTTCCCAGTAAAACTGTACCATCTCGTCCCCTCTGAATGGGTCTGGCTCTGGCTCTGGCTCTGTCACCTTGCTGTCCTGCTGAATCTTCTCAATGGAGTGGAAGAGATCTCGGTAGTCCTGCTCCAGTTCCCACTCCAGGGTTGCTAGGTGAGCCAGGTCTTGCTCAATATCGTGAGTGTCGTCCCAGTCATACCTGCTCTCCCTCCACTCCAAGAGATCACTGAACCGGGCTTGTGTAGGGCTCCCAAATTCAGGCTCTGAAAAAGCCTCCCATAACAAGCCAGGACCATCAAACTCCTCTCCCTCTGGCTTGTCATGCTCGGCTGTCCAGGGCAGGTACTATGCCCCATACCACCAAAGCGCCTGGTATGCATCTTCCAGCCAAATCTCCTGCCATACCCGGTGCTCCAATTCCTTCACCCATTCATCTAGGGGCTGCTCTCCCAGGAAGGGCATCCGCAGGGCCACTAGCTTCTGCAACCGCTGCTCTTCACTGGGGAGACTCTCACCCCGCTGGTACTGTACATTATCCAGGGCCTGGTACCAGATGCCTTTCCTTAATGCATCCTGGCCATCCAGGTCCTCCTCCTCGTATGACACTGCTGGTTCCATGCTGTTGCTGTCAGGGTCGCTGTACTCAGACATGCGTTGCCCTCAAATTGTAAATCCACGGAATGGTGTTGCCTGTAGCTGTCCTGTAGTCTGTGGGAACGATCCCGCCGCTTGCCACCAATTGTAACGGACCGTTTTGCATACAAGGGGTAAAAACCGTTTAGGTGATCGGCCCCCTTTCCAGAGATACAGGCACAGCTACTGCAGAACACCAAATCCCGAACTGGAACCTCACGAATAGCTGCTAGCAGACGAACAGGAAAAGCAGACAAACAGCTTGCACTCCTGGCAATCAGTCTCTAACAGCATACAGTGAATCCCCCCAAGAACGAGACAAGGCTCCGTGTTGAGGGTCAAGCAGTGGTCTTAGGTGCTGGCACACCCAGCCTGGTTTTTATTACAGTCTTGCAAATACAGGACCGCCCACAGGGAGGTATAAAACAACCAATCACATCACAGTTACATCCCACATATTCCCTCCCCTTATCCTGAGAGGAAACTCAATTATACATACAGTTAAACATACTTTCTACCCAACTTTCATAACTCCAAAACCATACATCACATTCACATAAAATTACATAGTCACAATCAATCCATTCAGGGGAACA